GCACAACAAAGTTACAAGAGAAAAAAGTGTGAGAAAAGTCGGAGTCGGTTTTCAAGACCTATCGAATGGTACATGAATGACCTCTGTTGTGTAGTTAAAGAATCTTGATCAAGTCAAAATACTATGGTTTACCTAGTATTAGATCTGGCAATCTATCAAAGTTTGATCATTTTCTCTGTACATTAATAGTCAACAAATATTCCAAACATACAGTTTTGTAGCCCTTGAGGAATTCTATCTATTGATCTATAGCACTAAATTAGTACACATTTGCTCAATATCAAAAAATCAAAAATAGTGAAAAGCTTACTTTCCTGATCAATCAACTTTCAAAAATTTTTTCTCAGGCTACAAGCAAGCACGAATCCAAAGCAACCGCTGTAGGTAGGTATAAGTCATAATCGGGCTGAGCTACATTACGTTGATCCTGGCAGGACAAAAAATACGGGTAGTCTGTGACACCATTATTAATCTACGGCTATTTTTTACCTACGGCTGAAACCTTTAAAAGATGCAGAGCTCTTGGGCAGCCTTATAAATCGTTTTTATCAAATATGTTTTGTTCAAGATGTTTGTAAAAAAAGCTTAATGTTGTTCGTAAGTCTGACTGTTCAAATTGTGCTGATTGTTGAACGTTTTCAATCAAAGCGTTAGGTGAGAAATAAAACTTGTCTTTTAGACGATTCAGATACTGTGGATCTTGGTCAATATTTTCGTTAGCCAACATTGTTGGGTCGAGTTTTGATTTATTCGATTCCGAATTTCGAATTAGAATCTTTTTCAATTTTTCATTAGCATCTTTGAAATGTATTGTGATTCTTTGAAGAATTTGATCAACTGGAAGGCTGTGAGATAAAGAGAATGATAGTGTTAGTTAAAATGTAGTAAGTTGACATCTGGGTATATTCTACGATCTAACCTTCTTTTTGGGCTTCACCAACTCAGAGATGCAACTGGTCAACAAAACTATGATCGGTACCGGTCAGGCATTTGCAGATCGGACCGGCCGGTCACTTAAATATTTTTTTTTTGTCACATTTTCGAATTATAATCTGACCGGTACCGAACCGAACCAGGTCAGATCGACCGGTTGAGAAGTCTTGATCGGATCGGATGGAAGCTGGCGTCCGATCGCCTGGTTCTTTTGCATCTCTGATCTAAGCTATTTTACATAAACAAACCTGTCGCCATAAAGATAAATCAGGAGACATAATATTTGTATATACAATCCTCCAACCTCGGGATGTCGTTTTGAGGTTTTGTCTTCGTGACAAGAAAATGCTAGTAACATATTTGATGATAAATCGTTTTCAGTTAGTTCGTGTGTTGTAATCTCTGGCTTAATATTCCGACAGGCTTGAATGAAAATAAGTCTTGGTTTTTCTTTCCAAATGGTACTATCATCAAAATTCCGAATAGTGTCTCGTACTGAGATTTGTTGACGGTCCGAAGTATAGAAAAAATTTAAAATACCATGCGACATGATAAATACAACTAAACACGCATATTGACAATAATCAGAATTTGATTTGATATCATTTATCTCTCGATCCAATTCTTCTTTGTTACAATCTTCTTTACATATTCTGACAATAAAATTCATTTCTTTAAATAAATTTGTCAATAACTGAACATCTTTTTTTGAACCATGACGTATTGGTTCAGAAACGATGTTAACAATGTTAATTATCACACATAAACCACGCACCTTGTCCTTATCTAAATAATCTGTACATGGCATTGGTATGCTCAATTTTTCAAAATTAAATGTTTCAGATGAGTCATTGTTGAGAAAGTCTAAATACTTATTAAGAAAATATTCATATCTCTCAATAAATTCGTTGAAATCTTTGATTATTGAAACAAATGTACGCAGATGTGCTTCCAAATAATAGCACTCTTCTAGCCGTTTAAAGAATTCTTTCAATGTCAAGTTTTCTTCATGATCCAACATTGTTTCATATACTGTAAATAAACTATTTTTAACAGCAGGGCTCATTATATAATGAAAACGAATATCATTGATTATTTTATATGTACTATCTAATTCAATATCAAGTGCTGCTAATAGATAGCAGTAAGCATAACTAATCTCTTGATGAATATTCATGATATTCGAAAATGGTCGAAACTTCGGCAAATAAGCTGGAAAAAGAGTATCATTGCACATATAAGAGCGTTTAAAATGACAAAGGATTAATAGAATGATACGTGAAACAGCCGGCCTTAAAAATTCCTTACCATGCTTATCATATGGTAATAATTTAAATTGTTTGATAATTAATTCGGATTTTTCTCTCACATTTTTATCGGATATTTGTTTATTTATGGTCAAAGTTTCTGTATAATATTTGACTGTATCGATCATATTGTCATAATCCCACTTATTTAGGGCATCAATACAATCCAATATGTCTGTTTCACAGACCAAAATTGATTGAGAATTTTTAGTCAGCACATATGACATATTGTTTTACTTTGGTGGAAGTAACAAGCACAACTTTATCAATGATAGCACTACAACAAGAATATTTCTATGCCTTTGTTTCATTCTTCGATAAAAAGTGTGGTTTTCAAATAATGCATACATAGGTCTAGTATAACACTATTATATTCCCAAAATAAAAAAGTTGAACACATTGCCTACTTAATTATCTCAATATTAAAGTTATTCTTATAAAACACTATTATATAAAAATAAATAATTTGGGCAAAAAAGCTTAGAAATGGAAATGCCGTTGATTCTTCACTGTTAAAATAATAAAATACGTGAAAGTATAAGGAAAAATGAAAACAGGGAAATAAACCTCACTTTAAGTGTGTGCACCTCCGAGTTAAGTGTCACTTTAAGTGTTTACGTTCTGAAGTGTCACTTAAGTGATTAAGTGTCATTTCAAATTCTGCATCTTCCCTTAAAGTCAAGACTTTAGGCCCTGAAGGGTTCATGAGGTCTTGTTCACTCCGTATTTTGACGACAACTTTTTTTCTTTTCAACGCTCAGACAAATTTTTTTTCGAAAGATGCGCCATCAAATTCTCTACAAAATGTGCTAAGTGTTTTATTCCAGAACAGAAAAATGAAAGACTACATGAAAAGTACTGACAAACTTTGAGACTGTCAACTTTTCAACTAAGAAAACAGTTTTTTGGTTTTATTCTTTGACTTTTTAAGACATGAAAGAATTAACGTTCGTCATTTCTTAGCGCTTGAAAAACTCTATCTTCCAGCTATAACAGAGATGGGCGAGTACGAGACTCGTACTCGTACTCGTACTCGTACTACGAGTACGAGCACTGAGCGTCGAGTATCAGTACGAGTATGAGTATTTTCTAAAAAGTACTCGAATACGAAAATTTTTAAAAGAAGAAAATACTCATGAAAAAAGTTATTTTAATTATTAAATTTCAAGTACTCGAAAAGATCGAGTACATTTTTAAGTACTCGTAAAAAGAAGCCACGAGTAAATACTCGTACTCGCCCATCTCTGAGCTATAATTAGAATTCTACAGCACAACTAGTTACATAAGAATTCTTTTGTTTTTAGTAGTTTTGCCAGAAATCATCTCTTTAGTGTAGCACTTGGAAAGTTGGCGGTCTCGAAGTTTCTTAGTATTTTTCATGCAGTCTTCCACTTTTTTGTCCTGGAATAAAACACTCAGCATACATTTTGTAGAGAATTTGATGGTACATCTTTTAAAAAAAAAATTATGCTTGAGCGCTGAAAAGAAAAAGAATTATCGTCAAAATACAGAGAGACCCAGAACGTACGAAACACCCTTTATATGTTCCGAAATATAAAATGTATGGACGGCGGCTGTTCGGCGTCATACGAGTCTGTTTGTTTTCATCATTTTAATGAACAAAGTTAGAAAGCATCTACAAATGTCAGTAAAAAACCGAAAACTATTGCTAGACCGTAACTATTTCTTTCAATATAGATCAGCCCGTTTAGTGACAAGACAATAGTTATTTTTCTCTTTCTGTTTACTGTTGTTATTTTACTCTGTATAGATGGGCGATGGGTTTATCACAGTCTTTCTCTTTCGCTATTACTAATCATTCGTTCAGTTATGGATGCTACTCACTCGAAGTAACGTCATCGAGTAACGTCTCTATCGTATTCTTTCATCTGTTTTCTCTCTTTTCTTTTTATACATAATTCTGATAATTTTACTTGTAAAGAATAAAATAGTTGAATAAAATCGAACGTTTGAAGTTGAACAAAGCAATTATCAAAGAAGAATAGTAGTTAGGCATTAGCTCCCGGCCTAATAGCCCTACCATATGCACGTGCATTAAAATGTATACGAAAAACGATCTCATACACCTCCTGTAGACTTCCTTTTGTAAAGTAACATAAACGTTTAATACCATGTAACTTTTGGGCTAAAAGCGAAATCTGTTACTTTTCTTATTTATAACGAGAAAAAATTAGCAGTCACTACTGCTCCAATCTTATTCAAAACAGGAGAATAGCCGTGACACTTCAAGTGACTGTCACTGATAAGTGTGTACACCATTTTAGGAGTTCCTTTCCCTCTTGGAAATAACACTTTGGTCCAGGCATGCAACACTCCCTTTTCTTTGATTTTTTTTAAAATACATTTGTGAGTAAGCTAAAAGCTAATTAAAAACATCATCTTTAGTACCTTCAACATTTCTCTACAAAATGAAAATGTATCTTGACTTTGGACGATGTATTGTTACCGAAGAGTCCCAAAACTCGATTTTACTGCCATTTGAAAAATGATCAGAAAATGGTGAAGATGAGTTCATATCAGTTTGCAGATATATGCTTACTGAACACGTTGCATCACTTTTAAAGTATCACATTCTATTTATCAAACGATATTTACTTGAATTCAAACTCAAAATTCGATTAAGTCTGGCTCCGAGATCACATCTTCAAAAATCGTACATGCCTTTTTCTTGTAGACCTATCTAGTATCTTTTCTGAACAGGTAAAGCATTAAAACGTTCGTTTATGGACGACGAGGACAGGTGCGGCAATGTCTTGTTATTATTGCAACTGAGTAAAGTCAAGAGAAAATGAGCGGTTAACGATGATGTAAGAAATGAACTCGTTCATTTGAGACTATTTCTAAAATTGCTGTCTCAGTACACATAGTTCAGAGTTGAGACACGTTTCATTTTCAAGAGAAATGTTCAGAGTACTAGAAATACTATTACTATTGAAAAAAAGTAAAAGAAACAGATGACTATCTGCTTGTCTTCATTTTACCTTTCTTGCACTTTTCTGGTCGTCACAGACACATGATGTAAGAATTTATTTTTCGTCCCTTTATATAATATTTCATTTCTTCTTATTTTAGCAACGCTTTCGTACGTGTATTGTCCCCAATAGAAAATTCTGCAATTAATCTCTTTTCTATTGTTGGGGACGATACACGTACGAAAGCGTTGCTAAAATAAGAAGAAATGAAATATTTTATAAAGGAAAGAAAAATAAATTCTTACATCATGTGTCTGCACTAGTCGATAATCAGCTCGATCTGAATAGCTGAATCAGCGTTCCAGTTTTTTAGCATTGAATCAGACATCATTAAAATGTATATGCGTATTCAGATCTGAAAATACTGATCAATCTCATTCAGCTCTGATTCTGATAACGGAATCTGAGCTGGATTTTTTGAAAGTGACAATCTCTGATTTTTTAGAGCTGATTCAGGCCAGATTTTCCAGGTCTGAATTAGCTATACGAAGAAAACAGACTCTAAAAATGTCAACGTTTTCACAACGTTGACGTGAGTGACGAAACATTTCACGACAATACAGAAAAAAAAATTTATTTACAAAGTGAAATATTTGATTGTCTAACAATACTATAAAAACTAAAGCAAAATAAAACGCGCACACATGAATCTCACAAATATTAGATAACAGAATGTTAAAATTTTACAAGAAGAGAATAAAAAACAATAGTTTGTCACCAAATACAAGTAGTAACGGGTGGCCAATAAAGAATGTCCCTCTTAGTATTTTGCTTATAATTTGGTTTGGATGTTTCCAAGACTCAATGTTCTTTCTAAAATATGCCTTTTCGCTGTATTTTAAAAGACAGTTATTTTTAAAACATGAAAACTGAATCCTCGAGATGAAAAAATGAAATTTCCAATTCGTGATCAGCGTGTCGGCATATACATACTCAAATACATATGCGGGTCATTTTCAGTTCGTACCGATTAATAGATACTTATCTGACGTTCACTTTTTGCGCACCGATCACACACACTTCCTTTTTCCAGTGTATGTTCAATCTTTATTTATATCAAAAATGTTGAATATATACTTGGGTTACATCAAACTGTACCAGAACGACTTCACATTTAAGAAACTCCTGAACCTTAGTTGTCAAAATACTCGCCGTTTTAATCTATTGAATAAAAAATGAACTAGTTTGGTCAAACGATGAAAAATATAGCCAGTTTTCTGTCGGATTGAACATTATGCACTAGACAATTTGTCAGAACAGAATATTTTCTCACAGAATTTTGCTGGTCACGCTCATACCGAAGTTTAGATGCAAAATGTAGGATGAGAAGTTCTTTTTAGGATTTTTCTCCTATTGACTTCTTGCTACAAGCTGATGAAATCTTTATCCCAGTATTTTAGCAATTCTGATTAAAAGTAAAATATATCCGGTGTTATTTTCAAAACTGAACGTTGCTTTCTAATGAAATGTTTAATCAAAGTTCATGAGGTAAAATTGCGTATTCTTGTATGAGCAACGCACTTTATTCGAAACACTAGAACTTTCGATGACATATTAAAGTAAAATCTATTCTTCAACCGCTCTTTTGTCTTCTGTATGCATCGCTGTGTCTTAGTAATAATAATATATCGTTCAGAGCTGAGATTTCATTTCAGTTTCAAGAGAAATGTTCAGAGTACCCGAAATACTATTACTACTGA